CCGCAATTTAGAAAGAGGCATCTTCTCAGGTTCTATTTTATTCGACAGCCTTCGAAGCCGACAATCAGGTGATGAAGGTTTATTAGTCTCCGATCGCATTCAACATCAGCAGAACTTTTTAAAGTCAAATTTCAAAAAATAAAATTAGAAAATCGATTAAGATGGAAAATTAAGTATGAATAGAAATGTTGTATAAATTGTTGTAATTGCTAAATTTAACTCCAACTCTTTATTTTGATAGAATCTATCTAGAACGATTTTCACGTATTAATTTCTTATCTAAATGTATAAATTAATTATATTAAAAAATTTTACAACAGTTGCAGAGCTGTTTTCTCTACTGAATTAACAGCCATTGATTTCAGATATTTTAAAGAGAAATATTTTCTAGAGATTTCTCTAGATTTTCCATTAAAGATATATTTATCTGTACGTGTTAGTTAAAAGTATTAGTCAAATACTCAGCCAAAAATAGCTATCACTCAAAATCACTCGATATCATTCAAAATTTTTTAAGATTCAAAAATTTTGTATGATGTTAGCCCTCAAAACCAACTGCAAAACGCAAAACGAATAATTTGGCTCATTATAATGATTTTAATACAGCAAAATAACATTTTTCTACATAAAATTTACAGTTTTGGTCGATAACTTTCTAAATAATCCAAATGAACGAATATTTATTGTTTTATTAATATTTGTATAAAATTTGATTTAATTCTCATTACAGTTACTTTCTCATCAAATTTACAAATAAGTAATAATTACACTGTAATTTTAAGTAATAATTAAACTGTAATTTTACGTAAGAATCAGAACTGGCAAAAAAATTAAATAACAAACTAATAAGAGAGTTTGCTCGAATTTTACACAGCTACTCAGATGTAATAATGGAACGATTTATGAAATTTTTTTATTTTTAGTTATGCGTAATTTTTGAGATGTGGCACATATTTCCTTAATTAATACTTAATTAATACTATGTCATACATTTTCTTTGCAGGATATTCCATAGCGTAGCATTTTAAATCAGCGTTCGAATGAGAGAATCATACGTTCAGAGATTCGATCTCACGCGCGCGACAGGAATAATATTATGCAACATAAGCGCGCGATATTGCTCAACATGCGTTTCCGCGCTTAATCGGTGTGTTACTTACAAAACATACGAATTATATTATACAAACGGGTCGCACCTTTAAGCAACTCCTTCACGCTGAAGTGAATCAGCTACTCGCTGCGGCTTTCCTAACGCTCATGGTTACTAATAATTATGTTAATTTCTTCCGAGAAGCCCGTATTAATGACGCTTCGGGATTTGTGTGTATCGACGGGGCTATTGCCTAATTTCTTTTCAAGGGAAGAATTTCGTGTAACATAAAGTTACACAAAACCAAGAAGAAGTCGAGACGATGTCGCCAAAACGTCGTTCTGCAATGTCGGAATAAAATAGAGAATAATTAAATTGCAATAGGCTAATATTTTTAACTATAGCAATCTTCTAAAAAGCTCACTAGTTGCAATACCAGTTTTTCAAGCTGGATCCACCATATTGTATAACTGCGTCCACTTCGTAAATTATTCATCGCCATAAATCTCGATCTAAATTGATTTTAAATGGGCGGCGGAATTCACATTCCGATTATAAATTTATTACATTTGAAGAGAGAATCTTGTTTAACAAGTAAAATTCCCCCGAGGTCTCTCTTTCTCTTTCTCTCTCTCTTTGCCCAGGTTTTATAGAACTGCATTCATCCTAAGCGACACGCTCTTCTTCTTCAAGGGTGGGATCCAAATTGTGTTACAGACAACGGCATTTTATTATAAGTTTATCATGTTGATAGTCCAATGTGTATTACTGTTATTAAGCTCCTGTGTAATTGCTGAAAACGAGCGGTGTAGATTTTCCACGCTATTATCCAACGTGACAACTGTCTTCTTGCGTGCTGCACGAAGCACGCACGGAACCGCAAGTACGCATCTTGATATACAGGGTGTTAATTAAATTACAATTTATTTCTCTGGAATTGGTAGTCTTTTAGCTAATTAGCAAAACGATATATATTTAATCAGACGTGCGATTATTAATTTCTTACGCGTGTTATAGAGTGTCTCGAGTCGAGGCATCTTTATGTCACGTCATTCACTGTCATGATTCGCTGAAATTATATCAACTTGGAACAAATAAGAATTTTACAAACACCGCATATAGTCGCATTTTAAAAGTGCTCGCGAGATTTACTAATGAATAGATGAAAGTTAACGACAGTTTCTAATCTCTGAAAATATGTTTGCAGCAATTTCACGATTACAGTACAAGATAATAAATAGTTGTCTGTCAATTAATCTTGCTGCATGCCTTATTAAATCACGTCTATTCATAAATTAACCACATGGTGCCTGAATCATTAAACTTACGCAGTGAGGAAGCAATGAACTTTGATATATTTTAGTCCATTCTTGAAAGCATTCGATAAGCGAAAGTATTTTAAAGTAATCTCTCACATTTTATAGCTAGCAATAATGAGATATTAACTGATCGATACATATTAATGACGTATTATAACTCGACATTATAAAACCTTTCTAAAAATAAAATTCTTCCTATACACGTATATCAACTTACATATTGTCTCAAGGATATCTCAAAACCATCAAACAGACGTTCTCTTAATGACAGATTCTCCGTACAATTTGAGACCAACTTTTCCTCAGCGGAAATGTCGAGGTTGATCATCATCTATCGTAATCCTCCAATTTTCTGCGTCCTTACAACTGTCAAATTAAAACCCTATTAAAGTAAATTCCATTAAGAATTAGTCGAAGGACGTAGTTTCGTTAACTGCTTGGCTCTGCAAAGATTAGTTTGCGAAGGAAACCCTTTTCCTCGTTCTTGTCAATCAAATTAATCATCAATATTATCCAAGATTTGTAATTGTAGGCATTGTCTTGATGTATATTCCTATTTCTTTTTCTTAAAGAGGAAGAAAAAGGAAGAAAAAGGAAAGCATTATATTCCTATTTCTTATTAATCAAATTAATCATTAATATTGTCCAAGATTTGTAATTGTAGGCATTGTCTTGATGTATATTCCTATTTCTTTTTTTATTTTGAGAGGAAGAAAAAGGAAGGCATTAGACACGAACTCCGATACACGTCAAGTCAATGCTAAGAATTACATATTTGGACAATACTGTTGCAAGTCAAATATCATCGTCATCGATGTCCTGATAACCTCGCTAGCAATCAGCAATTTTTCTCCCTGGTCAAAACGGATCTTGCACCAGAATATAGTACGACCACTTACCCGTGGTGTAAGAATCTGATATTTACACCATGGCACGATCAAAGACAGCGGCCACATCGGTTCCCATGCGTGTAACGCATCCCTACCTACCCATCGCTTGGACCCCGGCGGTGTCTCCGGAGTCACTCGAGCCTCCGGTCGCGAACGATGCTTCGGTGACTGGTGGTTCAAGAGGTGAGAGACCACGTCTGATCCTGGAGGGGATAACAGGGACCGCGCCCGATGGTCGGCTATAAAATGCCGCCACGAGGATCGGGCCCAACCAGTCGTAATCGATACAAGAAGCTCCATTTTTCTAATCCTCCTCACCTAATCCCTCCCATCTCGAAGGAGGTTCTTCCTGTGAATCTATCTATCGCCCGACTCGAAACCATGAAGCTCGTCTTCAGATTCGCCCTGTTGTGCGTCGCGGTGGCCTTCGTCGCCGCACAGGATGCCCAGGTGCAGGAACGACCAAAAACCTTCCGAAGGTTGATACCCGCCGATGTTCTCCGCGGTGAGTTAACTCAACTCAACCCTTCCCGAGGGTGAATTTTACTTTGTGGCAATCTAAGGCCTCTCGCGATCTAAGACCGGTATTTATAGTCGATTCTTATTTCAAGACCGTCTTAAGTAATGTCTTAAGACGTTAATATGGCCCTTCGATTGGTTCGTGACATCTTAAGATTGAATTTAAGACGATCTTGAATATAAGAACTGATTATGAATACTGATTTAAGAGTTTGCGGTTATTTCTTCCTACTGTCATTAAAAAAATTTTGGCTTCCTAATTGAAATCACTGAATAAATAAAAAAGCCAGTAAAAGAAGTATTATTTCGATATTTAATTTAATCAGCATCAGTACTCGACAGTTGTATGAGAATTCGATGGAAGATAACGAGAGAAGATTTCTTTTCGCGAAAGAATATTTCATCTCGCTGCAACGATCTTTATCTTTGTAACGTGATGCTAATATCGCTTGATATTATCACGCAAGATGAAGACAATTAAGTAATATATCTGTCTGCAGAAACTCGCGTTGATTATGTGCGAGCTATTAACGTCATAATTGTATGCTAATTTGTTGCTGAAGAAGAGATTTGCCTTTAGAATAGCGCGATCTTTGCTTCTTAATTAACTTTTTAACTCGTAAAAAAATTATATGTTAATTATTTTCATTTCAATGTACAATAGATGAATTTTAAATTATAAAATATATTTTCTCTGAAATAATTTCTTGATGTTAATAAAATAAATCTTTGCAACTTAAATTCTTTTTATAGCTTATCGTGCTCGTTAACGCGGTTTCTTAATTAACTATAAAGACGAAGTATAAAAATTAATATAAGATACTGATTTTGGAAAAACTTTGTTTTCTTCATTTTGTTGAAGAAATTAACATTTTTGTTAGGTAGTGTAATATTTATAAATATAAATATAACTTATTTTCTCAAGATTCATGTAAGTAGATCTACTCGAGAAATGAAAGCGTGAAACTTCGGTTGAGAATCACTTAAGGTGTCTGGCCGAATTCAAAGAACTGTATGTACATGACCGACAAGTGGGACGATTGTCGTTATTTTCAACTGGTGCTTGGTGGAAGACTTGGCATTTGGCTTTCTTACGATGCCTTGTCACGCGTATTAAACAGCTGTCTCGGAATCCCGGTAACATACCGTAGTGTGTCACGAATGTCATCCGTGATAGAAGCGATTTGTGTTCGAATCAGTCATTTAAAAAATTCATTATTTCACCTTGCGTAATAAATATGTACACACACACACACACACACACACACAAAAGACTTGAAAAAAGAACTTTTCTACATAGAATCTAAAATAGGAAACGTATTACAATTATTCACTTTTTAAATTGATTCTATATCGCATATTGCTGTGCTTATTCGGTCCGAAAAATTTTCTATTTTCAATTTTGTTATTTCAAACATAATTTTACTTAGAGAGTACCTAAATCAGAAGTTGCTTTCAATTCTGCGTGAAAAATCTTTATTATTTCACAGCTGAACCATGAGAAGTTGCGAGAATTAATATTCAATCAATCGTTTGGAGTCTTCCATGATAGATTTCTGAGATAATCTCATCGCCTACATTTCCGTTTCTCGCGTCAACCTTGATTATGGCTTCTTTCTTGCTTCATAATTAACGTGTCTCAACATTATATCTCAGATGTTTATCCGTGCGTAAATCGACCCTGATAAACGACGTCGAATGTCTTTTTGTATCGACTCTCCCATTATCTCGTAACGCGAGCATGGTCCTTGTGAATCAGGGATTCGCAGGGACGCAGGATGATGTATCGTGGCACGTTGAGATCCTCTGCTCAGATAAGTCAAGAAAAATAGCGAACTCTGCTCCGTTGGCGTCAAGATCACGAGACTGCGTGAAAGTTTCGTGCTGTAACCATCATCTTATAATCCCCTTTGCCCCGGTAATGCCTCCTCTTCTCTTTCCGTTCCTTCTCGATATTACTTTCTTCTTTATACGGTCCGCAGGGTGCATGATGCGTTTCTCCTCTCGATAAGTTAACAAGATCGTTACGAAACCCGTTGCTTTTATGCCCGTCTCTACTAATGTAGTTTAATTTTAATCTTATTGTTGGTTTAACCAACTCTGTATCTTTTTCTAGTTTTAGAATTAAAAGAGAATAAAGTGTAAGTTAAACCGTGGTTATAAAATTAATTTTACAGTATCCTTGGGACGTTTTATACGTTTAATCCTGTTACTCTGTTCATTTATTTAAATTATAGAAATTATATATATTTATTTATTTTAATATATCATTTAAAAATAGACCAAATGATTATTGTCGATCATTTCTATTTCTTTAATTTATATGACATTTCTTATGTGAAAGATAAGATTCTGAAATTTTTTCAATTTTATATTCTTCATACTTATGAAATATTTGATTTTTCAACACTTTTATTATTTTTGTAGTGATTTATTTGCTTGCTGTTTTAGTAAGTAAAAAAACGTTGATTCATCTAGTGTTAAAAACTTTTTCCTTTGATATTTGATGACTTCCTCTGTTAATGTATTATAAAATCTTTCTGTGAAAATACACTACTTTTATTTATTTATTTATTTTTTAATTGTTTCGATTATATCGATTTCGATTATAGAATACAATAGTATTTATTCTATAATATACACTATCAACTTTTTAACGCAAAATAAAAAATTTTGACTCTCACATGCCCTTTAATATATTTATTGTTTAAGAGTCTTTTGTTCTTATCAATTTTTGATTATATTGACTCAAATATAATTGTATAATAAATGAAACAAAACTACAGAGTTAACACAGACTTATTTTGAGGATTTATATGCAACGTTTAAAAAAATAGAATCCTCGCCAATTAAGGCTCGACTGGTTAAAGACTGATGCATTGTGTGTGGCACAAGCGGCATTTTTCTTTTCGTAACCATTCATTGCGAATCGCGACTGATGTTGAGATCCCGCAAAATTACGAACGTTCTCCAATAAAATCGCGTTAACCGCGAGCGGTAGATCAATTTAAGTGCCTTCCTGAGAGAAAATCCTTGATATTCACGTAGACGCGACGATCGCTCCTGGTCTTTAATTACCCATGGCCGTGTTCTTTCTTATTTGTCGGCGCAGACCTGAATTTCCATGAATAATCGAATTAGTCACGGAGTAGTGACGAGGAGGGAATTACGAGCGGCCTCGTTGCTCGAATTGTAACGAAGGCAGGAGATCGCATAAGTACGGGTGTGGAAGCTCATGGGAAGGATAGAATTATTTATTTGCCGTCTCTTGGAAGGTCGTATTATATATACGCGAGACGAAGGCCTCGAATACACGACAGACTTGCGGAAATTCTTTATCGCGATATGCAAACAATACTTAGCACCTTATGCACATAAGCAACGAACAATTGCCAGTTCTTTCCATCTTTTTTAGCTCGAAAGAAGAAATATCGGAGGACTTTTTATACACTCTTGAAATACATTTGCTCTGATGCTGTTGTTTGATTGACATAAAAATTAATAGGACTACTTGCCAATAGGACTCTTATTTTTTTTTTTTTTTTTTTTTTGGAAATTATATGGTGACGTGTGTCTTGCAAAGTGTTCTTGCTATTGGAAAGCGAGAAGCGCACTTCAAGAAAGTGGCACCCAGAAATGATAACCAGCACGATGAAAGTACGGGTGAGATCAAACGTATAAAATCAGAGAGAAAGAAACATCCCTGATTGCAAGACTTTTCAGATTAGCGATAAAATCAGCATGCATCTTTATCGTTGTATCATATATTGTGATAATAAATTGTTACTCGACTATTTCCCGGTTAGGGCTTCTCGAAAGCCTAGCCAGTTTCGTTTAAGAGGGACACAGAATATTTTCGCCAACGAGACAAATTAATGTTTCTGCATTCTGAAAAGAATGTCAGCAATATATTCTTGCAATCAGCAATTCTAATCCCGCATTTTAAACAATGCTCGCTTAATGAATTCCGAATTTTTAATTTCACGAGAGTTATATTGCTTGCCTCTTGCAAGTGAAAGTTTGCCATTTATTTTCCTCTTTCCTTCTTTTAATATATCTTTTTGCGACTATCGATATTTTAGTTTTATACTTCAATTTATATTTTAGAATTCTGCACGGAAGGAACAGTTCTGTTGTAGTATTCAAAGTTAGATACAGATATAAAAATAATTTTGTTCGAATCTCTTATCAAAATGTTTATGTAGGACGCTCAAACTGATTGCTCGACAGAATTTTAGAACTTTTTGCGGCATCAACGTTTAAGTGTTCTACATAATTATTTTGATGGTTAAACAAAATTATTTTCAACTAAATTTTTAGATACTCAGATTTTTAGATTACCCACAAATTATTTTCTATTTAAGACATTGAAGACATTCTTTAATAGACATTCTTTGCAATAGAACTCATTTCCTCAAGATGCAGTTGAAAGGAATGGCAGCAATAATATGATAAAGTATAATATGAAAAATGTGTGTATGAATTACATCAAAATATAATATTGAAAGGTGACATCTCTGATCTTTATTGCAAATTTCTCTTCTCGAAATTTAGTTATGATTCCACTTTCCAATTTGAAATCTAAGTTCTTATATCGCTTCTAATTGAATCGACATAAAGATCGTAATTTCCACAACTCGTGTCTCTTGCGTCTTTAGTAAGTGTCCTTGTTTACTATTTTACAGTGACCGGTAAAACGAGAAAACCGCAGAAACATTAGCGGTGCCGTAAACGTCGATCACGTTCAGATCGGCATTGAGAAAACGGTAACGAACACGTCATTGTTTAACACGCTTTGTATTATACGGCTAGACAATCTGACGTTAATACAAGACGCGTAATCCTCTATTCGATCTTATCTGCTTCACGTATATTACACACGTAAATATAAATTGTAAAATATTAGAAAAATACCGGTCAACGTGACTCATAAAGACAAGTCAAATTGACTTATAAAATCGATAAATTATAGCAGATAAATCGATAAATCAAAAAATTAGCAAGAAAAACAGTATAAAACCAATCAAGGTAATTTATATGATAATTCGATCAAAAATAATCATTTACGATAATTTATCGACTTTATAAGTGAATTTGATTTATCTTTAATAATTTATTCATTATCGCAAACAATTATTGAATATCGTAATTATTCATTATCGCAAACAATTATTGAATATCGTAAACAATTACTCTTTGATAAAATTATTAATAATTAAATCTGGAAAACGATTGGTTTCCTTCTGATCATTTTTTTTTTTTAATTTCTTCAGCTTGGGAGAATCGATTAGGAATTTTTCAATAATCCTCGCTCCGATGACTCGGGTAAAACGATCTCGTGAGTCATCGCGGGACAGGCCTCGAAGGGCTGATGTAATCGCGAGCCGTAAAACCAACGCGTCGATGTCCGTCGTAATGACGCCCAACATTTGTCGTCGGCGCGTTGCGTAAAAGCGGCGCGTAACCGACCGACTCGGTGTATGACAGTGAAAGTGTTTCTCCTTGAAGTTTCTAGCACGATCACCGTTGTCGCCGACGACGATGACGACGACGACGACGACGACGCGAACACCGGTGTGTTCCTCGTTCCAATCATCGTCGTAGATGGGTATCGAGACGACGTTCGTCGTCAGCGATTGCAACTCGAATTAGTCGTTGTAATATCGTCATCGTTTGCGCTCGTCGTCGTCGTCGTCGTTGTGACGCTCTGCGTCGAGGAAGTGAAATTCGCGATGTCATTATTGTTGCAAATACAGACTGGCTCGGAAATAGGATGCCGAACCCAACGGATGTATTGCATTCGTTGTTGAATTTACAATAGGGATAATGATGCGAACGTCGATATATTCTAAAGCTTTCGCCGATGCGAGAAGATTATTTCTTGATGCGACCAGAGAATCGATTGTGTATCTTGAAACGAGATAAAAATTACAAAAGCAAGCAAATTACTAGATATTGACCAAATCATAAATATTTTAATGAATTTGCTCTTTTTCACCTCGTAAAAATAACGAGACTGTCTCGCCAAACATGTTAAAATATAAAAAAATTGTATTATTTTTAAATGTATTTATCTTTAGGTACATCTATAAATTCTTCCTCTCAACATAAAACTGTCTCACTTTGGATCTGATTATATTAGTTACACTCGATTTAGAGAGAGAGAGAGAGAGAGAGAGAGAGAGAGAGAGAGAGAGGAACAAGATAATACAAAATAATAAAATAATAAAATAATAATAATATAATATAAAATAATTAAAAAATTTATAATATAAAATAATTAAAAAATTGAAGCAGAGACCTCTGATCAAAGTATAATATATCGCTTTGTCGCTCGCGATAATGTTTTTGATTACGTTTTCTCTTCTAAAATCTAAATATTATAAAAATCTAAAAATCTTGGCTACGTTTATGGTTTGGCGCTTCTAATTTCATCGCGGTGTGCACGATCGCGATGTGCAACGCGATATTAAAAAACACGTCCACTCTCTCGCATTAATTCTTTCATCTGCCCGGATATTCAGGTCGGCGGGATAATTAACAAGCAACATTGTGCGGCGAGTATTAATGGCGTTTAGGTCCGGCGCGTACAGTGCGTTAGAAAGTAACGACACTTTTGCGGAATTGCGCGTGACGATCGAGGTAACGATATAATACTCGAGCGAGCGAGCAAAGTTATTAAGGAAACGCGATATCACCGTCTCATTTCACCGTTCGACTTCGACGAGCTAGCGATTCGGAGAGCCTTTTACTTCAATCTCTAATAAGAAGGCTTTAAAGAATAAAATTAAATAAAATAACAGTAAAATCAGAGCTACTATTTCTTTTACAAAAAAGAGGACACTATTTCTTTTTCTTATTGGGCCACTTTTTAATATCCTCCTTTAACATGTTTCGATCCCACACTTTGGGTCATTCTAAATAATTAACAAATTTGTTGACTACAGTATTATTTGTTAATTATTTAGAATAACCCCAAAGTGTGACATAAAAATTAAAATAAGTTATTGTAGTTCAATATAATAAAACAAAGAAGGAAACGCTGAGATACATAAACTTAAATTTGACATTCAATAAAGAATTCGAATTTACATATGAACACTTAATATTGGCTTTGATTGGCATTTTATTTATATGATCTCATCTCTAGTTTATTGACTTAGACAAATGCGTCACTGTCGGTAAAAACCGAACGAAAGAGATCCGCGAATCCTTACACAGATCGGCCAAAGCGGATTAAAGTATTAATGTATTGTTGAACACTCATGTCAGAAAGCAGACGTTCGTTACTATTAAATTATCTATGTACGCAAAGGTTCATTGTGCCGTGTAACATCGAACATTATTGTCTATATATTAACGAATTATTATAAATTATTATTCCTTAAATTATTTCGTATATTAATGAGACATAATAATTCCTTATATTATTTATATAAATTTAGACACTTAACATTTTTATATTATTTCTCATATTATTATATATGTAATAATAATATATTTTTACATTTTATAATAATTTATATAACAGTATAGAGTTATGTAACAGTATTTTCTGAAAATATAAGAGAAACACTCGTTAATTAAACAATCCTGAAGCTTTTCCTTTCTCTTGAAGAACGGCTCTTCTTTTATCAGGTTTTTATGCAACTCTACAACTTGCTCTGATAAGAACTACGTATCGTGTTACAGACTTCCCTGGAATGTGCTTCGCATCGACCAAGTGTGCGACCATCGAGCCGACGAAATCGTGGGAGCTGTCGCCATTCTGCGGTCGTTCCACCTGCGTGCCCGCTGATGACAACTCCGGCCGTCTCTTTGAATTAGTAGAAGACTGTGGCCCGTTGCCCAAGGCCAACCCTAAGTGCAAGCTCTCTGACAAGACCAACAAAACCGCAAGCTTCCCCGAATGTTGTCCGATCTTCGAGTGCGAGGACGGCGCCAAGCTCGAGTATCCGGAGATCCCGACCCTGCCACCACCGAGCGATGAGGATGCGGCGAAGGCGCAGCCGGAAGCGCCGAAGCCCTAAGCCCGACACAAAAGCTTAAAAGGCCACCTTGTCCCTGGGATGAAGATTGCGGTGTAGCCTCCTCGACTCAAACAAGATTCAAGCAAAACGAGAAGTCATCATGATGTCAAAATGCCGTCAAAGTGCCTCCAAAATCCAACCCAAGGAACACACAAAAGTCAACAGAAAAATCAAAATGACCTTATTTTGTTTCTTGAATCAAGAAATAATCAAGTTTTGGAATAAAAAAAAAATCATTACTTTGACTTTCATGATGTCAAAATAAAGATACATTTTGACTTTCTCTTTGACTGAGCGTGTTCCTTCGGAACAATTATTAAAAGTCGCTTTTTTTTGGCCAGTCGCAGATTCATTTTAAAATCAATTTGACGCTATCGTAACCTGTTATTCTGTCCTGGTCATCGGACCTGGTTATGTTCGACGCGATCTGTCAATGCGATCGATGAGAGTCAGATGCGGCGAAATATACGTTCAAGGATTAATTCTCCAAGAGCGATAAAAAGACCAGCGAAACTCCTAACGTAACGCAAAGTAAACATGCAAAATATAATTTTATTTTGTATTGGTAATACGAGTACCATAAGATCTACTTATTAATACGACGAAACGATCGGTCGCGCTATTTTACAGTATTTTTTCGAGGAAAGGATAAATTGTCATGTAATAGCCATCGGACCGTTGCACATTGCGCTATTATAGGAAGCGGTTCTCTTTGTATTTGGTTCAATTATAAATTGTTCGACAGGATTGTGCAACGTTTGTGCCCATCACGACGAGGCCATACCGCGATTTCGCTCACCACCTAACGTGATCTGATCCCATTTAATCCAGATTAAGTTAATTGTATATAAATTCAGGCCGCGTTTTTTCAAACTACGAGCACGATGAAAGCTTTCCAAACGCACTCATTCTACACCCGATTTATAATCTTATGATCGTAATCCCGATTCTTTTGTTAACTTCCCCCATGTTCTTTTAGCTGCGCAACCCTCGAACGTATAATTTACCTACGAAAATCTATAAAGAAACAGAATAATTTTGCAAAGTGTACATTAAATCTCTATATAAGAAGACTTGACAAAAAATATAATGAATGTCTCACGAAGAAAAATAAATGTATTAAAAAATTAAGTCGTTTTTGGTGTATATTGTTTCGTGATTATTCTATTATATTTCGCACAGAAGCGTTTGAGAAGTTTAAACTTTTCAATGATATATCTTCCAATGATAATCGGTAATGGCGTAACTTCTTTTAGTTAAGTTGATTTAAGTTGCTCTTTTTCAGCATATGACAAATTATTCCGTAGTAGAACCTGGCAGTATGTATCGCAAATATGTGTGATTGTAATTATATGTGATTAAATTAATACTTATTTAATTCAATCGTATGTCGCACTCGTCTCCCTCCTCCGTTTTCCTATTTTTCCTCTCAGAATGATTAATTTACTGATGAATTTACATATAATTTATTATCTGTTGTTATAAATAACATTTATTGATGAAATTAATTATAACTTTTAATATTACATTAATATTAAAAATTATAACAATATTTAGAATTGATTATATTATGTCAAGCGAATAAATAAAAAATAAATAAGCGCCGTTTTTCAATTGCAACTTTCATTTTTCATTTTTATTTAAGAAAAACCTAATTATAAAGTATAATGTATTTAAGAAAAACTTAATTTGTTTTAAGCATAGAATGACGAAACTAGCGATTAAAAGTTCCTGTCTTAACTTTGAGTTTTTATTTTCGCTTAACGATTCTGCAGACGACGGTCACCACTCAGGATGCGCTTTCTACTGCGATTTTTCTATTTTCTGTTTTTTTTTTTGTTAATGCAATGATATTTTGATGAAATATAAGTAATGATTAACGTTGTAAAAGTAGGCGAGGAGCTAACGAGATTTTCGGTCTCTCTCTCGAATAGATTATGAGACCTACTTTCACCCGACTTATATTCCGACAATCCGCTTCTCAACTTATATTTCGAATTTAATTAAGTTAAATAAAGGATAGAAGGCAGAACGCTATAGTAGGTTTATCGCGGCAGCTCAGATTCGCCAAGATATTTCTGTGATTTCTATTAATTAAATGTCAATTTTGTAACTTAATTACGGTCAAGTTTAGCGACAACAAAATTAGATATTAGGGAATTTTTGCAATACAGTTTATACAGATACGGTAAACGCTAAAGTCACGTTATCTTCTTCTTAACAACTAAGTAATTAAGAAAAAAATAACATGATTTTAGCGTTCACAGAATCTATGTTATACATGAATCTATGTTATTGCAAAAACTCTGTATTATTTATTAAATTCGCATAAGACGTCGAGGAAACTGCGAAACATCACTATAACTTTTCATCCGACTACGTCTTTAGCAATATTGAATAATGTTATCAGCATCGCGGTTTTGATCGTTTCATGTTGTCTTTCGCACGCGCATGTCTTTATGTAATTAATTAAAAATCATTATATTAAATGACATTGTATTAAGTGATTTAAATTATATTTACCGCTCTTCAGAATGCTTTATCAAACATGTATAATTTTATTTCTACGAATTCTTGCAAAATTTTGCTTATAAGAAGTTTCTGATGAAATATGCGATATCGAAATATTCGAGGATCTACGATAATAAATAATATACGATTCTCTTACCTAAGCAAAATTATAGGTAACATATTTTAAATATTTTGTAACTATTTTTGTGGTTTCAAATTGTATTTATTATAAACGTTACATAAAATATTTAGTTCATATTTTAATAATATTTCGAATAAAGCATTATATAAATATGTATAAAATATTAATATAACATTTAAAAAAATGAATAGTAATAAATATTTATCATAAATATTCTGTGCTGTTTAAGTATAAATGTATATCTTATGGGTATAGCTAAGAGAGCAAAAAGACCGTGTTTGATTCCTCTAAATCTTAAAGATAAAAAGCAATTAAAACCGCTTAAATGAACTATCCTTAATAAATATTCACAAGAAATAAATTTTGGAAAAAAGAATTTTGGGGTAAAAGTATAATAGAAAGATTTTCTTTATGCGGTACGTTTATGCAGTTATGCAAGTTTGGATAGACAATAGATCGATTATTTTATCATAAATTTTCGATTATTTCGTTATTGCGTACATTCGTTAGAAACGTTTTGCTTGGAGACGATGTATAATTTTATTACGATTGATCTGTCCTTGTCTACAAAAATTGCAGGAGAATGGTTGCCAAATGGCGATCTATTTTGGAGACATCCTGTTGAATGTTTGCGACACTTCGTAGACTGAATTAAGTAACTGATCGCGATTAATTTATTTGCAAAATCTTAAAATTCTGCAACATTCCACGTAACATTTTTTTTTCACGCTCACGAGATATGTCAAGGATAACGATTAAAAATAGATTTTATTCTCGAAATGTCAGAGCGATGAGCGCTCAGATTTGTATGCACTATGCATATTTATGTGAACCGCAATCTGTATGGAGAAATCAATTTTTTTTCATCATCGATCAAAAAACACATTTTTTCCCGCGTTAATCTCGCGAGATAATGAATTCTCTTTCCTTTCTTTCTCTCATTCAATTAGAATCAACGTTGTATTTTGGATTTGCTTGTATTTTAAATTAATTACTAAAATCGCATTATACAGAATCGCTAAATTACTAGTAATTTACTGAAACGCAAGCAATTCAGCAAGAAAATATACATGCCGCATTAACTTTCATTTACGTACACAAAGGAAAGGTTTAAATTAAACAAAATGGATTAGAATAGTCAAACCAAATGGATGTTTAAATTAATAAATAATATAATTATTTGCACTAGAATTAAATTTTTTTATTAAACAAAATATGTCTCATTTATAATTAAATTTGTGCTACGCCAATGAAACAAAATAGATCGAACTCTCGAGACTCTCCAAACAAAAACTTTTTCTCTGTGTGTAAATAAAACTTTCGAGTCCAAACAAATTTTTTTCTCTGTGTAATTCTATTTTAACACAATTTTTTTTTATTATTCTGCTTTCCCGATGATAATGAAAGACTAATTTGCCTCGTCATTTTTTTCGTAACAGAACGTGTAAAATTAAAGAAATACGTCGACATATTATCCAGCAAATGAGGATGGAGATTGAAATGGATTTGAATGAAATGAATTGAAATGGATTCAGATTTTCAGAAATATTGATTCAGGAATGTTAAAATAACTGCTCTTCAATCCTGAATGCATTTGTATACATTTATAGGAATTGCATGGAGCATATATCTATGCCTTTCAATCTAAAAATAATATTTTAGCTTTTTCTGTGCACTGTTCAATTAAAAATTTTGAATAGGATACAGTTTTTCAATTCAATTGTATCCAATTGAATCTAATTGAATCCAATTAAATACAAAAAAAGTATTCGCTATTTAAAGTACGCGCGCATTCGGATAGAAACAAATTTCAATCCATTTTAATTCATTCTCGCTTGCTGGGTATAGCATATTATGACATTCATAGCTTACGTTATTATCATCGCTTGCGTTACGTCCGTTACAAAAAAGGGATGAACTGAAATGAGTTACAAATTCAAATGTCACATCGTCGCAATCGTGTTTCTAAATCTCGATTAATCGCGATAGGTCGACCGTGCGTGCACGGAAGCAGCGGCCAATCGCGGAGGTCGACGCGCGCGTCTCCACATTTACGCGAGTAATCGATATATCACATGAACCTCTGTATCGACCTCTCGAAAGTCAGAGGACGCACGCCACTGCCGTCGGGAATAATGCACTCGATTGCACTCGGTCGATAAGGGAGGCGAGGCGAACAGGTGACGACATCGTTGTCATACTCGTGATTTCATAACACGCCATTTTCTTTGTGTGAAGCGCTGGAGCGCGGAGGTGTTTTCACAGGCCGTGTTCCCTGACGAGTTCCCCAGGTAACGTGTCTGTTTCGTCCCGTACGTTTCCCCGGAATTCGCGTCTCGCGCGGAAGACGCGCGGTGTCTCCGACCTGGATCGCGTCCGCCCATCCGTGGACACGCTCGCTCCAAGTTCGAGTATCTCGAGTGAATCGAGTGTCCTGAGGCCCCCTGCATGTGACGGATTTCGTCGAAGGCGTTGAACGTACGGTGGAGCGGATTCCGCATCGCGACACATTTCGTTCGCGCTATCTTTTCGTCGTACGTTGCGTCGCGGATATTCCTCAAAGCCGCGGATCTCGGGAGTGTCGATCATTGGTGACCGCCAAATATCTCGCGCTCGAACGTTCTCGCGAAGAAAGCTCACTCGTTTTCTCTCTCACTCTGTCACTTTTTTTAGTGAGCGCGTTGTACTACGTCATTGCCACTCTGAGTCTTTCTCATTAATGTTGTTAGATGATTCATTTAATCGAATATTCCTTCCGAACATTCGAATTCTAAGCTTTCGTGCGGTAATAATTGGTGACTTTTGATTCGATGTACATGGTAAATTTATGTAAATAGTTTAAAAATCGTGGGTGGAATGTAATATCAGAAGCTGATCTGTTTCCAATATTTACAATTCAGGAAACACCTGGTGCTTATCCTTCATTGTTTAAAAAATTGTTGCTTTGTAACTTGATGAAACTTTTAAAGGCTACATGCATTTTGATGTTTGGGCAATAATATTTTCTAAATTATAAACTGAACATTACAAAATTGTAGCAAATTTAATTTTTACAAATACAACTTGTAGAATATTATTTTTCTTAATTTTAAACAATAAAATTTAAAAATTTCATATTTGCTTACAAAATTACTTAATATTACATTTTTGCTATTTAAATTACTCTGATTTTAATTTTCTATAAAACTTATGGAAATGCCTATAATCTTTATTATGTATTTATATAAAAAAAAGAAATAAATAAAAAAAAAAATTAAAATATAAATTATATGTCTTGCTTGTATTTGTTACACATATAATTAAATTTTCATATGGGATATTTAATATTTTAACTGAATTTTTTTTTCATACACAAGAATTTGAATTTATGTTGATATCAATTTTTATGAAATAACAGTCACTAAAAAATTTCTTCCATATTTGATCATAAATCGTCACATTTTAATATGAAAGAAGAATCATATTAGAATAATATTCTAATTACTCTACTTGATTTGATAAGGAAGTTATGTATTAGTCATAATATGATTCCTATTTTTATAAATAGTATGCTAATCTTTGTTCCAAGCACTTCTCACAAAAATTAATTTTTAATATGGTTTTATATTTTTTCAGCAAGTATGGCATCCCGTAAGAAAGTTTTGCTGAAAGTAATTATCCTTGGGGATTCGGGAGTTGGGAAAACTTCTTTAATGAATCAATATGTCAATAAGAAGTTTAGCAACCAATATAAAGCGACAATAGGTGCAGATTTTTTGACTAAGGAAGTGATGGTAGAGGATAGAATAGTCACTATGCAGGTAATCCTTGTGCTTAATTTCATTATTTTAACAAATCGTCAGTATTTTGTATTTCTAACGGAAAATCTTTTTGTCTTAGATTTGGGATACCGCTGGACAGGAGAGGTTTCAATCGTTAGGAGTGGCTTTTTATAGAGGCGCAGATTGTTGTGTACTGGTATTTGATGTATCGGCTCCAACTAGCTTCAAATCTCTAGATTCATGGAGGGATGAGTTTTTAATTCAAGCCTCGCCTCGAGATCCAGACAACTTTCCGTTTGTCGTGCTCGGGAACAAAGTAGATCTTGAATCAAGAGCAGTGAGTAAAATAATTTCAAAATCTTGAAAATAATTTTAAATAGTTTTGTACAGTTTAATGAACATGCAAATATAAATATTTAAAATCTAATACTTTCATTTTATTTAATAATTGCAATTTATATTATCATTTCCTACATTTTTTTCTGTATCTTTTGTTTTAGGTCTCAAGCAAGAGAGCACAACAGTGGTGTCAATCAAAGAACAATATTCCATATTTTGAAACTAGTGCAAAAGAGGCTATTAATGTCGAGCAAGCTTTCCAAACGATAGCTAAGAATGCTTTAGCTCAAGAAAGTGAAGTGAGTATATTAGAGGCGCAGAGTTTTTTCTCGATCCATTCATGACTATCTCAATTTTATCTTTATATCCTTGCGAATTTTAGGTCGAACTTTACAATGAATTCCCGGATCAAATCAAATTGACCAACGACCAAAGAAGCAATGGTAGAGGTGATTCATGTGCTTGCTAGGTCTTGGAACAGTGGTAATATCTCAAATGACTAATAAAGAATGCACAGGTCAGATACACTCACATCACCTGCGGCATAAAGGACGCGGAGAATATATTGCGATGAGCTTTATGTGTGCAGGAAGTCATAAAATTTCTTTCTTTATCTCAACATGTTATTATACAATCTTCCTCTGTGTCCATAAAACAAAAAAAAACGTCTCAATATAATTCTTAATATAGTTTTGTTGAAACAGTTACATTAGTGCACGGTAAAAAAAATAACGAGTTAAATCCATACGTAAAGGAAATGTGTACAAACTATCTCGATATACATATACATATATATAATTGTTTTTATAAACGTGTGTGGGAGTAAGATACATTTATCCGACTTTCTGACCTCTGAAATATCGCAATCTTGAATTATGTACTCCCGCTGGACTTGACTTGTCATATATAAGTCCTCTATGTTATTCTTTAAGTCAAGGATTCGCATCTCGTTTTTAAGTATTGTAATTGTAATATGCTCTCTTATCGGGTATGGCGAAACATATGAACTCTATTTTTTCTCTATTTTTTTATCTCGATAGTTTGTTGTCGATTAATTTTCACCGAAAGAGTAATAGCTCGAGGTTTTCAAATAATATAGGAGTCGTTGTTGCACCAGAGAGGATAATATATGGGTCGGGAACTCAGATAGCAGTATACTGTTAGTAAATTATAATAAAAGAATTTGCTCATAATTTGTTAAGTACAATTGCATTTACAGAGAAGCTCTAGTGCATATAGCTTATTATACTTAGACAGAACCGAATATTTGCTGTCAGTAAAAATGGTTCGTACGAAATAGAACGAAAATAAGATAAAGTTACAATAAAGTTATTAAGATACTTTGTAGTGTCTCGTAAGATGTTTTAACGAGTTTGAGATTCACGCAAATGGTATGGTGTAAACTCCTTAAATTTTTGTTTTCTATTCAGAAAAATTTTCAATTGTTTTATATATATATATATATACAATATATATATAAATATTGAAATATAAAATTATATTATGAAGATTTTGGCTTGTTGCGCACGTATATATGTATAATGCTAAATATGTTATTTTGTTCATATAAATAATTATTTTAAACTTAGAGATGTTTATATGGCCATCTCGATTTAGAAAGTAAAAGAGAATTTGTTACAGATATAACTTATTAGAAAAATTTCTCCTTCGCTGAACGTGTCATCTGTAATACGTTTTACATAAGATACTTTTGCAGTTTTCAAACGTTGCAAAATCCCGAAACGAGATTCCTCTTCTTGTACCGCGATGCACATCGATTTTTAAGATTTTTTACTGTACATAAAACAGTAGGATTCCAAGTGCGCGGTGAGTTAATCGTCAATTGTATGGTCTATCGAACAGTTCTACACGCAGACTGTATTTTGTAAATAAGACAGCATATGTAATCCACTTAGGAAAATTTAACGTTATAAAAATGAATCTTTATATCCTGATAGCCATATCAATAAGTATGCGCTTGTAATATTTTAATTCTACTATAGTCCTTATTAGAGCAGTAATTAAACGGCGTGTGATATTTATTTCGACGGAGAGAGCGAGCTTTCACATAGTTCGTGCGAAATACGAGGAATATTTACATTAATGCTGTATTTCAAATTTTTGTAGTAAAAAGAAATGATTGTGCGCCTATCAAGATGTGTTTAAATGTTTTAAGATTCGATTTCCTAGAAAGATAGAAAGTGCAAGGTAAGCATGCTTTTCCGCAGTAGTTACGCAATGTAGTACGATAGTATTATGCATCGCGGTACCAGTAATTGTCACTCAAGTCTCAAGTAATTTTGTTAATCCTCGGTTACTTTTGCTCAGTTTCCGGATTATAATTAAATTTCGTAAAACTTCGACTTCGCCAGGGACTTTAATACACAATCCCTTCCCTTTGTTCCAATGTACGTTCGCTTAACGATTATATGTGGCCATCAGCGGGCGCACTGATTCTGTCGACGCACCAAATTACTTTCATCGAATCTCTCCAGTAAAATCTCCAATAATTGATTTTATATACCTAATGAAACCTACTTGAGTCTTTACCAAGAAACAATCGAACTCAATTATTTATACCCATAATTTCTGGGCCACCCTGTGTATATATGATATTCTTATGAAATACAAATTTAACGTATGAAATATATGCATACGCAAGGTGTCCCAATAATCGTGCACTTCTTCTAGACACTTAATGCCGAATAATGATGATTAGCTGTATCGAGCCTTTGCTGAACGATTAATAATTAAAGGGCTCTTGAAAAAGGAATCAAGATGCACACGATTGAAAATCTAAAATTTGTAATATTTAAGATGCGATTGTCAAGATGTTTGATATGTGTGCAGTATAATAGATGTAAAAGGTGAAGTCCAATTGAGCTTTCATTATGGAAAAGTTGATTTTAAACCTGTCGAGAAATCAACAAAGAAGGTGCGCGATTTCTGAGACGCTCTGTATATATGATAATGCGAAATATTCGCATTGTCAAGTGTGCTTTCATGGGTCTACGCATATATACGTATGCACGTGTATATAAGTGAAGATAATCATGACCACGGCGATTATAATTAATAATATGTATAATTCTATCGAAGTATGTTAATGATAAATATAATTATAAATAATACTATTGTTATTATTGCTGCCGCTATCGCTGTTGTTGCTGTTCCCACTACTGCCATTATCCCTACGCAACAAATATATTGCTAACAATCAATACATTTACAGAGAAGATTAAACTAATCGAATATAAATCTTCTGGTATATCATAATTTTTATTTGTAATATTTCTACATTATGTAGTTACGATCTGAAGCGACATTTCGCTTGTGAATACAAAAATCGCTTAATCTAATTATATGACATATTTATAAGAAAAAAGCACATAGCGCTAAAAATAGGGAGATATTTTTTATTCGAACAAAACAACATTGTAGTCTATTTTAAAGACAAAAGATTTAAAGGCAATTGATAATCCTTTAGTTTGATAATCAATGCTTTTAATTAAAAATAAAGTACGTAAATTAAAAAATAAAGAATTAATTAAAAATTAATTGCATAGGCTCATATTGAATTTATTTTTTTTTTTCAAAATTTGAATCTTTCGAGAAAGTAGATGTTGCCATGACTATGCAATCCTTATGCAATGATTAGTATTACTAACGATATTCATACTGAAAATGTGGGTCTCAGCAGTATTCTTTACGACGCAACTTTTCACGTTTACAAGTGTTTTCACGTATGTGCTTGTTCCGATAATTATCGTCTCCCCAGAATTTTTAGTGACACTTTTCAGCGATTCTCTGGTTAAGGAAATGTTTTTCAAGACGCAGGCTTGCTTTCTAAGGAAGCTTGTAGAATCACAGTTTGGTATGATAGCGTTCAAATCACTTAATAACTTTTTCGCCACCTTAAAAGATAATTTTAAAATTAAAGTGTTATAAATTGCAATACCTACTCCTTTATTTGTGATGAAAGATATAGCTGCATAGAAACTATAAATTCGCAAAACGTATAGATCGTATGTGTTTTAATAAGGAAGTTATATTTAAATGCAATTTTATAACATCAGTAAATTAAAAAGAGATTATTATATAATATAAACATTTTCAAAATTGTGATTACAATAAAAGAAAAGATTTCTATCCCTGGCGGAAAAGATTTACGAAAAATTACATAGATTGAGACAAAATCTTAGAAATTATTAGTTTTTCATATATATTCATAGTAGGATAATATGTAGAACGGTTTTTTTTTCTTTTTTTTTGAAAAACCTAGAGATCCTCCGCCCTCAAACAACGTTACTCTACGTCTCACTGCGAATATCTACGACAAATTAAGAATTTCTAAGTCTCAATCTATGTAGTTTTCCGTAAAAATTTGTTTTTCGCTAGAGATGATTCTAGTAAATTAACGTATAATGAAAATTTATTTTCATAAATTGATTACCTGAATACTGCTGATTACGTTTGCTAATGGGCCTTTCATGGCCATGCGACCGTTTTGGATGCACATGTCCAATCCAGCAACCGCATTTGTCTTTATCGATTCTAGATTATTCTTTGCATAATAGTAACACTTGTCTACGTTTTTACCCTCCTCTTCTCCATTATGAATGGACAGCTAGAAAAGCAATTTGTATATATTTTATGTATGTAAATACATCTCTCTAATCCATTTAAAAAATTAGTACTGTAATGCTGGCTTGAAATGTTGTAATTATAATATTAAATATTTCTTGTACAATCTATATACTTGTCTTTCTTTATTAAATATATGATAAAAATAAATGATATTCACATTGACATCTTCAAGTGCTCCGTTAATAGTATTGTTGATATCATCTAAAGCGGTTTTTTTTATTTTTTCAAGGTGCACTTCTAGATTCTGCGACATTCGCTCTTCGAAAAATAATAGACCGTACAGTATAGTTTGCGTGGCTGCCTTTTCTACATCCACTAATCGCTCGAGACTGAGCGAAGAATCCGTCACATTTTGCTCCAATGCCTTAAAAAAGACATATAAAAACTTTGTTATTAAAATATAAAATATAAAAACGGAGATACTATATATATATTTTTTAGATACGCATAATTTTTCTAAAGAAAAAAACGAAACAAAATTATTTTCTTATACTTTTTAATTATATAAAAATTATTTAAGAATTCATATTACAAAATAATAGATATAACTTTCAATCTTTCAAGAAGATATTACCGAGACTGTCAAAAAATGAAAAAATCTATTATATTCTTTTTCTAAGTATTCATTTTATTTAGAGTGATTTAGATTTTTCTCTTCTTAAATATGATTTATTGAACTCACATAAACTGTACACAGCAGTGCCAAGAAAATAACGGTCTTCATTTTTCCTTTTAACCGGATTGCGTTCAAAAAACAATATTCTTTCGATGCTATTACTATCATTTCATTTTTATATCAGAACAGCTTATGATAACGAATGATAATGTGACATTATTCAATTTTTTTAATTAAAACAGAGATTAATCTGAATGATATATAATTGATGTGTAAGTGTTATCGAATATGTTGTCAAATATGTTTCAATATTGTCTCTTATTAACAATAAGGAAATGTACTTTTTTAAAAGAACTTTAGAGACAAGAAATATTCTGTATTTGTTTAATATTTGTCTCTGAAAAAAAAGATCAATACACAAATTTCGGATCTCAGGAAAAAAAAGCATTTGTGAAAGAGAAAAACAAAAACGTTAATGTATCGTATACTACAATACAACATTGTAAGTATTATCAGAACGTGTGATAAGAAAGTACAAGTATTTATATCTTATTATTATCATAAACATAATCTAGAAAATATATATTTTTTATAACATCAATTTATTTAAACAAAACAATAATTTTTAATTACATAAGTGAATTCTTTCCTGTAAAGGATAACGTTTCTTTCATGACATGATATTATCCCCTTCATTCATAATGTACTACAAAAATATACTTGACGGAAGACGCTACCGCGTGTCTCCTAATAAACATAATATAGAAAATATATATGGAATTTTCCGGATTTATTTTTTTCCACTGTATTATTTTTTTTTAAACTCTTTAATCCATATAAATATTTTTTAATTTAAAGAAAAATTTCTGTAAAAGACACTT